GAGCAAGAGGCGGCCGTGGGTGAGAGATCAGATTAAAGCCCTGCCCTCAGCTGACCCACCCAAGGCAACGGGCATCAGTTCGTGCAGAATTTGAGCTGTCGAGTTGTCATTCACACACTACCCTTTGATCAGTTCACACTGGGGATCAGCCTGCATCCCTCCTGTCATGAAATCAGACCTTAATTCCCTACAGTTTTTGCTCCTTAGATTAGCTTAAAAAAAAAAAAAAGTAAATTATTTTCATACGTTTCAGCTATAAATGTCTCCATAAAATAGGGCGCCCATTAAAATGATTTGTTGTATGTGATTGTTCAGAGCAAAGACGCTGGTGGAAACTCACATAAAGTCCCCATGCTTGAAGCTGTCAAGGCAATTACCCCCGAAATCCCATCCAGCTCAGCCTTGTATAGACAGGAACAGTAGCTCTCTTTCTCTGACTTGGCTTAAAAACATTCCTGCGGCTATTGATGGAGTCGGCAGAATGAAAGCCAGGCCATGGCATGTCTGGGAGACTGCTGTGTGTCTGGGTGGTGAACATCTCCCAGACTGCTCTGCAGCTGTGGGCATCAGTCTCTATGGCTTTATACAGCCCCAGGCCTCCTGAACCACAGGCTTTCCCACAGCCACCAGGCACCGAGCCACTTCTGGCTCTCTGCAGTCCTCTCTGTCCGCACTGCCTGTCTGTACACTTCTTGCCTGCCTAGTCCCCATAATGCTGGAGGCTGTCAGACCTCACCAGCTATCAGGAGAAGACATCCTTACCCCCTGCAGTGGATGGGTAAGGGCTGCCAGCCAAGGGATGGGAGTCAGAGGGAATTATCCCCACACTCTGGTGTCCCCGCTCAGGGGGGATGGAAGCCCACCATTTCGGGAGGTGTCTCAAGAACCCACCGGGCTGGGAGAAGAAAGGATAACTGGGAAATCTGAAGTTGCAATGCTCTCTTTGAATAGCTTGGGACAGGCGTGAAAAGGTGACACCAAACAGGGAGATTTGAATCCCTCAACACTCCAGATCGTACCTTGAAGCTTGGCAGGGTGGATGCAGGAGAAGGAGCATCTCTTCAGGTAGGTGGTCCCTTTGGGGCAGGAGAACTCTGCATAGTACACGTGGGACTGGTCAGGGACACCGCAGTCAACAGGGTCACAAGTCACAAATCTGTCCCACCGGCCCGAGCGGCACGTCAGCACCACCTCCTGCTGCAGAGAAAGCAAGGCTCCATCAGACCCCTGCAAGCGAGCTTTAATCTACTGGTTTACCACCACAGCAGAAAGGGCTGACCCAGGTTCCAGAATAAGAACTTTCCTCCGTTTCTCCCCACTCTGGGCACTGAGCCATGAAGCCCCTACCTTTGGGGTGACATTTGGGGTGTCAAAGCAGTGAATGGCCCTTAGGGTAACACGCAAGCCACCCACACAAGAGACCTTCTCGTGCTTGGTCTGTAATTGCTTGCCTCCAGAGCACATTCAGAGGAAAAGGAAAATCCCTTCAAGATACACTACAGCTTCCTGAGCTACAAGTTATTCCCAGCTGTGTGCACAGCAATTTTCTCCCCTTCAAGATCAAGTCTTTCTTCAGCTGCTGACGGGCAGGTCCCCTGTTGTTTTTTCCTAAATGTACCGATTTTCTCACTCCTCATCCCACAGACCCCACTGAAATCAGAGGTTCATATAACCTCATTTACAAATCCTAATTACACAGCCCCTCTTACATGGCTGGAGGATTGCAAGAGAACCTGCTGCCCAGTGGTTCCACCGCTAAACATAATCAACATGCGCACAGACTTCAACAAAACAGAGCATTAGATGATGGTGGGCCATGACCAACCTGGTCTAGTGAAAGATGTCCCTATCCATGTCAGGGAGGGTTGGACTAGATGACCTTTTTAAAGCTCCCTTCCAACCTAAAGTGTAATGGGATTTCCACTCCCGGACTGCTGACCTCAGCCCAGCAGTCTTCAGGCAGGGGCTGCAGACCAGAGAGGTGCCTTTCAACTGTTTGTGGTGTCCCTTTGCTGGCCGAGTACAACCATGCTGCTCATACAGTCCAACTGTCTTCCCAGCCAGCACATTTTGACTGAAGCTGGGCATGGTGGTTCTAAACGACATCGCTAAATTTGAGTCTGGTATTCTTGGGTGCATGGCAGGATCGTGGTAGCTGAACCAGGTGGAGAGGATGCTCAGGGGAGAGCTGCATATATTTTCTCAAAATGCCTCAAGATGAGTATGGTCACACAGCCAAACCAGTAACAACATCACTTGGGGGCTGAAGGCAGGGCACTTGCAAGCTTCCATCTGCTGTGACAGCCAGAAGTTTCCCCATCTTGCTGCCAAACACAGGAAAACTGTCACCCAAGTCAGATATATTTTGTGTGGTTTCATTTCAGAGGGAGCATTTTGGTTTCCCTGAGCATGCCTTGGCCCATGGAGCAGTATGGCTGTATAATTAATAACCTCCCCGGTGATGAGGGACCAAGCGGTGCATCCCCAGCTGCCCCATCGCACTTTCTGGTGCCCACCTCTCCTTTGGCAAACACTGACGGCTGCAGCATGGGAAACCTGCCTGCCTGGCGTCACGAGCACTTGCAGCTCTCCGAGGAGAGGAAAGGTCCACCCTGCTCACGTGGCCTGACTCAGCTCCATCCATCTCCACCCCGTGCAAGTTCATGCTCTCGCTCGGGCTGGTGCGGGGACCAGCTCAGCCCTGAGGACTCCTGTTCCCCCTCCATGAGCAGCCCAAGGATGGGACGCACTGTGCCTGTGACCCTGACAAGGTGACTGCCCAGACCTGAGGCAGCTCAGCTCCCAAGGGCACGTCGGTCCCAGGTCTCCTCGGTCAATGGCTATGAGACCTGCTGGCTTGTGGCTTTTACAAGGCATTCCCTAACCCTCCAGAAAGCAGGACAAACTCTTTCCTGGTGACCTCTGCGCTGCCCCGCTGGCGTGGGCAGCATAATTGCGACACCACACAAAGGAAGAAGGGCTCTCAGCACTGTCAGCTGCCTCTAAATATAGTCGCTCTGCAATGACTTCACTTTTTCCTGAGCCACTAACTTCAGCTTTAAGAGAGAAGATGTCCCAGGGGTGTTTAACCGTGCCAGCAACGCCCATCTGAAGAACAGAAATGTCTATCTCTCCCTCTGCGGGAGGACATCAACCTGGCTTGGGACATCCCCCTGCAGCAACTTTGCACCTGGCAGAGCCATGGTCTGCAGGCAGCGCTGGGCTGGGGCAGCCAGGAGGACCACAGCAAGGCAAAGGGAAGGGTCCCCAGAGCAGGGCCACCAGCTACCAGTACCAGAGCCTCCACTGGGCTGAAGTTTGTTGGAGTAGCAGAGAGGAGGTTGTGGCTGGAGGAACACTGCATCCCGGGGTCACTCCAACCACCTCAGGGTGGTTAAACCTTTCCTAACTAGTACTTGGTCCAATGGGCCATGAGGTCACCCCCACCACCCTGAGGTCCACTCACCTGCATGGAGCCGAGGCTCTTCCCATTGCTGGAGCGGAGGACGAAGCCCTTTTCACAGGCGATGATGCAGGCCATGTGCCTCTGGCCATCAGAGGTGCAGCTGAGGGTGGCAGCGTGACCAAGCAGCGGCCGCGTGCAGCTTCCCAATCCCACACAAGCACCGTGGACACAGCTACAGAGAAGAGGGGAGGGTTGAGCAAACAGGTCCCAGGGCTTCTGCAAGAAGGGGCTCTCTCTGGGTGGCACCTGTGTGGGATGCTCAGCAGGTCACAGATGCCTACAGAGATGCACACCTATCCCTCAGCTCCAGCTTCTTCCAAGCTTGGAGCCTCCTGATGGTGATGCCAGGAGGGTGCTTTTTCCAAGCTCTGCCTTCACTGGACCTTGGCACAACCCCAGCAGACATCCTCTCACAGACCGTTGTGTCCTTCCAAGCTGATGGAAGGAGACATGGCCCAACAACGCTCCTTCCAAACTCCGTGCTGTCTGTCTGGTGGGACTACTCTGGCTCCTGTGCCCCATGGGGTGCAGGCTGCATTGCACAGAGCCTGCACGCTGCCTAGCACCAAAGGGTCCGGTGGTCCTCCATGTAGATAGACCAAAGGAATGACAGGAGGAAGGTGATGGAGAGAGGGCAGACAGATAGCAAATGCAGAAAGGTCGAAGCAGGAAAGTTGATATCAGATGGTGCTATCAAGCAGCACGAGGAGTAAAGCTATAAAAAGCAGTCATTGTAGCACCTTCTCAAGAGCACTGCAGCTTCTCCAGCAGCAAGGTGGTCTCTATCACAGGACAATTTCTCATCTCCGACATGCTCAAATCATACTGGACAGCAGAGAACTTGTTGCAAGAGACCTCCTGAAACTATACTCTGCGGTGCCGTAGGGAGCACGCTGTTAGACTCCTGCCTGATTGCAGCCACTCACACAGGTCCTCCCGTATGTACTCGGCTCATGCATGCATCTCGGAAAAGTGTGCGGGGACAAACAGCGGACAGCAAGAGATCTGCACTTTCCAAAGGCAAGAAAGCCCAGACAGTAACATTGGGTCTTTCTTCTTCCCTGTAACTTCTGAATCCACACCTCAATTTCAGTCAGCCTTAGCACAGAGTAAGACAAGATCTGCAGCAACAGTCAGGAAGAAAAGATGAAGAGGCCTTTTTAAAGCCTGTGCTGATAGAAGGGTGACAGATATTTCAAACCTTGTATTAGATATCAGAGAATCCACAGAGGATTCTCCATCTGCAAGGAAAGGTGTAGCTAGAGAAGGAAGCTCTGCAGATACTAGGGAACCATCCACGACATGTTCTTCAAACTACACACAGCTCCCCCATACCTGGCAGCAGAGTTGTCTGAGCTTCACGTCCACACAGCCTGTGGCGGAAGGGAGAAGCTGGACATGCTGCAGCTGTCTCCTCCATGCCACTGTGGTCACATTCCCACTCTGTTTTGATAGTCTTCAGCAGCTCTGCTCTTCCCACAGGCTCACACAGCATTTCAAGCCTGTGCGTGTTGACACCAGGCTCTTTGGCGCCGAGACTTGTCCAAGCTCTAGAGACTTAGCTGTGGCCACCAAGGTGAGATGCAGCTAAAAGGAAGAATTATCCTCCCCTGTGCACCACCTCAAGTTACAAGAGGTCCTGGGAAAGCTTACAATGTGTCACCCATCCCCAGGAAATAAACAGCCCCTTCCTCACCACAGCAGCTTCCCACCAAGGACCATCCGTTTGGCACCAATTAATTAAACGTCACAAATACTCCCACAGTGAAGAGTAATGCCGGTCAGGGGCCTGCGGTCTCCATCAGTGAAATACAGCTGGTAGATTAATTATCTGGGGTGGAAGGGGGCCAAGACACAGGGTGGACACAACAGGTCCCACAAGAAAACGCCCTGGTTATCTGGCAATCGGGCTTTATCTTCTACCAAGTGGTACCAGTGCAAAAAACCAACAGCAGAGGTGCTGCAGCTTCAGGTGACAACCAGGGAGAGAAGGTAAGGAGGGAGGTACACCTGACCACCTCTCCCCTCTGCTCCTGGCTTTGCACAGGGCTGTGGAGGTCATCGAACCGAATCACAGCTTTTGTGCCCGGTGTTTCTCCCAGGGGAGGCAGAGGCAGCCTTTGCCTCTTGCGGTCGCTCAACCTCTCCAGCCAAGGATACATGGCTTGGAATGCCACAAATGACACAAGAAAAAAAAAACCCAGAAAATCGGTGCTGACACAAACGTTAAGGGAACGCGATGTGCTGTTGACTCTAGACAAGTCCACCAAGCCAAAGACACGGTGGAAACCTGCAGGCCACAGCCCTGAAAGAGCCGGTGGGCACGGGAGGGGACCACAAAGGAGAACAAGAAGAAAAGGGCTGTTTTTTCGATGCAGACCTGTTTATGAAGTGAGAAATGGTTTCAGGGCAGCTGCTGCAAATTCTTTCACTAGCTTATATTTCCATTTGCTTCCTTTTTAAAGAACTTGTTTTATGAGCACAGTGTTTGTCAGGTCATTAGCTTCTGAGGGCATCTGGTACCAATTGTAGCCCTCTCCCCTCCCCTCCCACAGTCACCTTCTCCAGGCAGTTGCTTTGCTCCCAGTGCATGCACACACTCCTGTCCCCCAACTCCACCTCCCCGTGACGGAGCCGCTGTCCTAAACCTCCTTGCGTGTGTGTCTCTGCACACACCACGTGGGAAAGGGGATGAGCTTCTCCTCCTTCCAGCCTTGCTCTTGCTTCCCACTCCCTTCCTCACCAGTCATGGACCTGCAGGGAGCTGCAGCTGGTGTGCAGCATCCCTCCTACCATGGTGCTTGGTGCTACATCAACACACCACCACAAGAAAGTCCTTAACCCCGGGTTGCCTCCGGGCGTGTGGAGGTCATCTAACCGAATCACAGACCACATGTTGGGAAGTGGGGCTGTGAGATGAGTTGTGGGTTCACCAAGTGGCTTAGGCTACGGCTTAGCTGGGTGGCCACACCAGGACCCCAAGACACCTAACTTTATCTGCTCATGAAGTTGTGGTGAGTTATGGAGCATGCACTGATCACAGCACTTGTTCGGAAGCGGTGGTGGCACCTCTGGACACATCCAGCTGGGCCAAGCACTTGGCTGGAACAGGTCTGCTGGCGCTAGCAGAGCGATGGCACGTTGTCTGGGGCAGCCTTGGCAGATGGGACAATGCTGTTATTAAACAACAAGTAACAAAGCACTGATCCTTTTCACATTCACATCCTGGGCACATTCTGGTTTTCCACCAGTTCAGCAACGTAACCGGCAATGCTGATATAAAGTAGACTGAGAGATCAGCAAGTTCGTTGCTGTATTGTTGTATATGCAAAGTGTTATACAGATTAGTTACACATAAGGGATTGATAATTATAGGTCATAATAATGAAATAATTCTTTTCATATACACCACATGTATATGCTCATGCACACATGCTATGCATGTATACAGATATATTTTAGAAATAATTAGCTTTCTCTTTGCCCCAAAAGATGGCTACCTTATTGCCATTTTCTCCATTACTAACAACCCCCCCCCTATCCCCACAAACACGCACTAGGTTTTTTTTTGGAAGTTCTGAGACCTATTGACTCAAGTTCTGAGAAGCTGTTCCCAACCTACATGCAGCTTTGAAGTGTGGTGCTGCTATTCCAGGACTGGAGAGGGGCTCATGTCACTGAAAGTTGTCCGATTTTCTCAAATATATCAGTAAGCTTAAAGAAAAAGAAAATAAGTATTATCTCTACCTACAAACTTTGCCTGGATCGCTTCCTTTATCATTATCAGCATCATCATGACTATCGCTGCAATACTCTGGGCCAGGACACCCTTGAGCCTGATGCTGTACAAGTGCAGGACAGGAGGGAAGAAAAAAAAAAAAGGCAAAAAAGAAAATCCAAAAAGCCATGTGGCCTGGCCCCATCACGATCTGCATGCCTTACCAGGGTTTGGGTAACGTGATGGAATAAATCTTTCTCCCAGCCGCTGGAACACCCTAACGAAGGCTGGACGAGGAAATGGTGTAGTTAGCCCAGTTCTGATCTCAGCATGAAGGAGCTCCTTCTCCTTTTGATGATAAATGAAATTCCTATATCGCAGCTGCGAACTCCTGACATTTGGCCGTTTCTGATTCAGGCCGTATAAGATGCGGAACGAGCCAATATTTTTTTTCTGCATGAAACATCAAAAAATTTTTCCATTTTTATCCCAGCATCTTTTGAAGCGCAGACTAATGATTTGTCAACAACATTTTCACAAAATACTAAAGCTTTTCTCCTAACTTGTTCCACATCAGCACCAGCCTGCCTGATTTTCTGGGCTCACCAACTCCCATAACTCATACATCAAAGAAAATTTCAGATCTGGAAATCTGTGAAATTCTGCCTAGCGATTGCCCTAACTGCTCTGGAATGATAAGAGCTTTGTTCTGAAATGGGACTATTCCTATAAACCAGAGCAAAGCTTTTCCTTTGGGATCCTTCATCTTTCCATAATCAAAGCAGGAGGCAACTGCCAGCAATGGAGCGCCTGGAGCCAGTGGTGACAATGCTGGTAGGCAGACATCGTTTTGTTGCGACAAACCCCAAAATTCTGAAAAGCTGAAATTTCCCATTTTGCAGCAATTAGTTCACGGAACCCAGAAAACACTGATGGATTTACCCAAGTCAAACTAAGCCAAGCCAAATACAGTGCAGCTGCCGAAAGTATCATAAATCATCCATGAATTGCTCTAGTATCTACCCAAACTTTCAAACCAAAGATTGCTGCTAGAACAGCCCTTATCATCAAGCTCCAACTTTAGCAGGGGAAATTATAAGAGGTTCACGTCATAGTGCAAATTTTTGGGGAGAAGGGGTTATAGGGGATGTTGATGGAAAGGTAAAGGTTTCAGCCAAATCTTCCAAAGTTAAAAGTAGTCATGGTGTGTACTCTGGTGGAGTCTGGATTGTAGCACTGAACACGAGTGAGATAAGATGTTTACTCCAATGTGGTCTAGCAAAAGAAAATAGCTAGGAAATGAGAAAAGGTGTTTTGGAAATACTTGGGAATTTCTCGCTTCAGGCATGTTTCTCGTGAAGGGGAAAGGTCTCACTTTTCCAGTAAATCTGATGGCAATCGTCCTTGTGGGAGCAGGCTACATGTACAGACCCAACGGTGGTGATGCTTCTTGA